ATCGCTAGCCAACCCTACACCCCCTAGAAAATGAACTGGGAAAACGGGAATGTCTCCAAAGGAGGGCTGGCCCTTGCCATGCTAATGTGTAGCACGTGCCTTAGGACAAGGGGAATCAAACCAAGGTCCCATAAACATGCGAAGCTGTTTTGGATGGCGCTAGCTTCTAATTCCTTCCTTTCCTTGACAGTTCTTCTCACCCTGGCACTCCCAGCTAATGGCACTGTCACCCACAGGGAGAACTGGTGCACCCCTGGTGCTCAGGGGGGACCGAGCTCTGTTTAGAAGGCTGGAGACTTGAGAAGCACATGGAGGCTTGCAGAGGGTTCTGGGGAAGGTTGGTTCAGATGACTGTCATCTGTCGGTGCACAATATGAGTTAGTTCTTTTTATTGTTCCATTTCTGCAGCACCCAGGGTCGAGGCCTTGGGCTCACACACTTGAATGGTTAGTCCTCTCATCACTGAGCTAAAGTCCCATTCTACCACACCATGGTCATGTGTTTGAACATTTGATCTTTATCTGGGAAGCTTTGGGAGGTGTGGCTTGGTTGAAGGAAGAGAGATTGCTGGGGGTGGAGGGTAGGCTGAGTGTTTATGGTTCAACTCCACTTCTGTCAGGAGCTCTCTATTGCCTGGTCCACAGAGACATGGTAAAAAGCTGTGTTACAAACAACCCCTGCCCCCAAAAGTTACTTTCATGGTCAAGCCTTTCTTAGCATGGCCACAACAGACTGTGTCCGTTTAGACTATAAGCTACAGTAAGCCTTCCCTTCTCTAGCTTGTTTCTGTCACAGTAACAAGAAATGAATGTGACAGTGGGGTGTATGTGATGTAGAAGGGTCTTCTATCTATCTGTTGCTTTCATTGGTTAATTAATAAAGAAAAGTGCTTGGCCTGATAGGTCAGAACATAGGTAAGTGGGAAAGACAGAACAGAATTGTGGGAGGAAGAAAGCAGAGACAGGCAGATACCATGAATCTCCAGCCCAAGACGAACATAGGTTAGGATCTTTCCTGGTAAGCCACAGCCTCGTGGTGCTACACAGATTTAATGGAAATGGGTTAACTAAGATGTGAGAGTTAGCCAAGAAGAGGCTAGAGATAATGGGCCAGGCAGTTGTTGAAGAACGGCAGGCTGCGTCCCCGGCACCCGGCTGCCCGCATGGCTAGCTTATGCCCCGAAATAATTACATGAAAACTGTATTCTTTTAAACACTGCCTGGCCCATTCATTCCAGCCTCTTATTGGCTAGCTCTTACATATTGATCTAACCCATTTCTAATAATCTGTGTAGCCCACAAGGTGGCTTACCAGGAAAGATCTTAACCTGCATCTGTCTGGAGTGGGAGAAACATGGTGGCTACTTGACTCGGCTTTCTTTCTCCCAGCATTCTGTTCTATTTACTCCACCTACCTAAGGGTTGGCCTTTCAAATGGGCCAAGGCAGTTTCTTTATTAATTAACTAATGAAAGCAACAGATTAGAAAGAAATCACTCCCACATCAGGCAGTGTTTTAAATGAATACAGTCTCTGTCTTATTATTTCGGGTGCTAAGCTAGCTGTGCGGGATGAAAAGCAGGCCTGCTCACCTTATCACTACAGGTATGGAATGTTAGAGCTACAGCGTGAGGAGGTGGGAGCTCAGGCGATGCTGATGAAGAGGCATGGGTGAGAATAGACCAGAGAGGTTGAGCAGGATTCATGGGATCACAAATTATCTTACCTTTTCTGTGTTCTCAGGTCATGAGAGACATTTGGAACTGGGGAGCAAACCTGAGAGACAAGATTTAGACTGAATTATGGATATACTTTTATATAACCTTATGTGATACTAATCATATTTTATAAGCACAGTGGGGTTGGAGATAGGTTAAGACCACGTACAGCTCCTCCAGAGGGACCCAAGTTCAGGTCTCAGCACCCACATTGGGTACCTCACAACTGCCTGTAACTTCAGTTCCAGGGGATTTCATGCCCTCTTCTGGATTCCATGAATATTGCATTGATATGCATAAACCCACACAGATAAACACACACACACATTTCTTTAAAATGGAATTGGGGAGAAACTGGGTGCTAGGGAAATTCCCAGGGATCCACAAGGTTGACCTCAGCTAAAATTCCTAGCAATAGTAGAGGGTGCCTTCCCCTATAATCAGATTAGTAACTATACTAATTGTCATTGTAGAACCTTCATCCAGTAACTGATGGAAACAGATGAAGTGATCCACAGCCAAGCACTGGGCTCAACCCTTGGAGCTTAGTTGAAGAGGGGGATGAGGGATCAGATAAGCAAGGAAGGGTCAAGATTATGGGGAAAATCACAGCGACCACTGACCTGAGCTAGTGAGAGCTCATGAACTCTGAACCATCAGCTGGGGAACCTGCATGGGACTGAACTAGGCCCTCTGAATGTGGGTGACAGTTACGTGGCTTGATCTGTTGGGGATACCCCTGGCAGTGGGACCAAGACTTATCTTGGGTGCATTAACTGGCTTTTTGGAGTCCATCCCCTATGGTGGGATATCTTGCTCAGCTTTGACACAGGAGAGAGGGACTTGGTCCTGCTTCACTTGCTATATCAGACCCTGTTGACTGGCCAAGGGAGGCTTTTCTCCTTCTGAGGAGTAGATAGGGGGTTGAGTATGGGGATGAAGTGGTGGGAGAAGGGGAGAGGGGAGAACTGGGACTAATATGTAAAATAAAATATTAAGTAAAAAACTAAAAAATAACATCTTAAAACATAAAATAAAGACAACAGCCAAACAGAATGAGCAAGATTGGTGCTACCCACATACAACCTGGACTCAGGATCCTTCTCACTGGGATAGAAGTATCTTATTTTTTAAAAAGTGCTAAATGTTCACATAAAAATAAGACACGTGGGCTGGGAAAAATACATACAGAGTTCAATAAAATGAAGAAAGCAGTCATTCCACGTTGCATTCAAGCAATGACTACCATATTCTGTTTCTCTTCCTATCTCTGTTATCATATAGGAAGCTGGGGCAAGGCTGGGACTCCTCCTTGATGTCCAGATGAGATTGGCTCACCCTCCTATGCTGTATGTAGGCCATCCCTTACCCAAAGTGAGGGGACCCAGGAGGATGTTCCATGTTAGGCTTTGTTGAGTGTGCACAGTATTTTTATATACAGAATGAGAAAGCGTGGTGACTGTATTCCACTGCAAGCATCACATCCATTCATGTTTCAGGTAGTCCTTATACAATTTTACAATGTTTTGATAATTTTACATGCAAAATGAAGTTTTGTACTATGGAATTTCAGATTGTGAAGCATGACAAGTTTGGGGTTTTAGATTGCTGAGTTAAAGATGTTGAAGGTAAGAAAGTAAAATAAAAACACCTAGAAACTGTCTCCTTTGCAGTCTGGCATGATCTTGAAAAGATGGGCCCCAGGTTCATGCCTGTGTTGCTATACATTTCAATGTCATTATGTGCTTTGTACTGACAGTTCTTGTTTTGTATTGTGTCGCTGGAGACGATAAAATTCAATGGCTTTTCTGAAGGTGTTGAAATAGGAGCGGCGGGGCTGCGTCCCCGGCACCCGGCCGCCCGCATGGCTAGTTTATACCCAGAAATAATTACACGGAAACTGTATTCTTTCAAACACTGCCTGGCCTGGCTAGGTCCAGTTTCTTATTGGCTAGCTCTTACATATTGTTCTAACCCATTTCTAATATTCTGTGTAGCCCACGAGCTGGCTTACCAGGGAGGATCTTAACCTGCGTCTGTCTGGAGCGGGAGAACCATGGCGACTCCTCACACAGCTTCTTTTTCCCAGCATTCTCCTCTGTCTACTCCGCCTACCTAATTTTCTATCCAATAAAATGGGCCAAGGCAGTTTCTTTATTAATAAGAAATCACTCCCACATCATTTCCCCTTTTTCTGTTTAAACAAAAAAGAAAGGCTTTAACTTTAACATAGTAAAATTACATATAACAAAACAGTTATCAAGTAAGAATTACAGTTACAATATTTATATCTATTTTATCTCTTATCATAACTAAGGAAAACTATAACTAACCATTCTTCAACTCCATCAAAGACTCCAGAAGGATATAATATTACCTATCAAACAAGAAATAAGAAAACTCTAGAAATGACAGAGACATCTCGCTGCCTGGACAGTCACCCAAAGTTCCTCTGTACCGTTGGGGCATCCATCTTCGGCCTACAGGCCCATAGTATCCAGCAGACATTCTCATCAAGCAAGAAATTCCAAAGACAGTTCAGTCACTTTTTGCTGTGTCCTGCAGAATGTCTCACAGACTCTTTCATGAAGCAGGAACCCCAAAAGGTCATCTCACCTTTAGGCAAGTTCAGCAGTCCTCTCTCTGCGGGTTCTCTGTGTCCAGTTTATGCAACAGTCCAGGCAAGAGCAGTTTCTTGCCCAAATGGCTATCAAACTCCATAAGGATTCTCTTCGATGCCCATCTTCCTCTTGAAATAGATTGGTGCTGCCAGGAGCAAATGTGTCTCATTGTCATGAAAAACCCTAAGTTATTAAAATATCTTAAATGCCATATTCTGCAGCCTTTGAAAGATATGAAGAATGCCTATCTAACTAAAATATCTCTCTATATATCTAGAAAATCTAACTAACATGACTACAAGCTTAAGTATTAGCGATGATTATCCATTAACAACCTATATTTCCTAATTATACATTACATTTTTAAATGAACTACACAATCACAATACCTTAATCAAGATCAAAAATACATATACATATAACAAAATTGACCATAAAATCCATACCAATGCAAATTATTCATATCTATATCATATCCCCCTTTAAATGTAAAAGAACATTTATAAACAATATTTGGGAACATGGGCGTAGTTTTTTCTCTACAAACTGCTTCCTGCTGAATAGGGGCGTCGTTAATTAGGTTGTTCATGATATAACCTGTATGCTAGTTTCATCTCAGTTGGCAATTGAGCGAAGCAATTTTTTGAGGGTGTTCACAGCAACCTTTCAGGAGGGCGTGGTCTATCATACCAAATCGGAATAGATGCAATCCACAGGGTCTCATCCTCTGCAAAAACAAAAGAAGACCCTCTCCAAAGCATCATATCCTTAGACCCAAATTCTGAAATCATAATACCCTCATGAAATCCATTTTGGTTTAGCTTGGCAGCCCATATAATGAAATGTCTCTCTGTACTTAGCTCCTTCACAGTCAAAAATTTTAAAGAAAACACAATGTACATAATCCAGACTCTCTGTGAATTTTCCATTTTTACGTGGCTTATTTTTCTTTATTTCTCTTAATCTATAACTATCTGTACTTCTGTACTCTGTCTCTTTAAAGACTTTACCCTTTTTCTTTTTAAGACATTAACTTTATTCTTTATATTCTTTTTCTTCTCTTTCCCAAGCCTACGTACATTTATCCAACAGTGTCTGAATCTGTTTTATTGTGAATCTGTAACTTTTTTACTATCCAGGAGCACTTTGTTTTGCGCCTTTAAATCACTAAGCGCTTAAGAATCTAAGCTGTGACATTCCTAGGTCAAAAACAGGTACTGTATGCTGGCCCCGCCCAGTCCAACATGGCGGAGCCGCTCGTGCCTCTGATCCTTGCACATTGCACCATTAGCATGGCGGAGCTGCTTGTGCCTCTGAGCTGCGGCACACAATGTCCCCCTTTTAGGCACACAGCAGTCTAGTTGCCATCAAACAAATCGTAGCACTTTAATCCAAATGCTCCATTCATAAGCTCTGTCTCCCGCCGGAGCCAGACAGAGATCACAATGGCGGCACAGCCCAGAAAGCCGGCATTTTAAAACAGCCAGTTTTTTCCTGCTGCCGAGTCAGGACAATTTCTTTGCGGCACGCAACCCAGAAACAGCAAAAAGCTGTCTTAAATTCTCTCTCTCTCCTTTTTAAGCCCTCTCAGGTTTTTAAGTGGATTTAGCCCATCACGTTTGGGCGCCATCTGTTGAAATAGGAGCGGCAGGGCTGCGTCCCCGGCACCCGGCCGCCCGCATGGCTAGTTTATACCCAGAAATAATTACACGGAAACTGTATTCTTTCAAACACTGCCTGGCCCGGCTAGGTCCAGTTTCTTATTGGCTAGCTCTTACATATTGTTCTAACCCATTTCTAATATTCTGTGTAGCCCATGAGCTGGCTTACCAGAGAGGATCTTAACCTGCGTCTGTCTGGAGTGGGAGCATCATGGCGACTCACTCACTAAGCTTCTTTTTCCCAGCATTCTCTTCTGTTTACTCCACCTACCTAATTTTCTGTCCTATGAGGGCCGAGGCAGTTTCTTTATTATTAGCCAATGAAAGCAACAGATAAGATACAAGACCCACCTCCATCATGAAGGCTTAGAAGGATGGAGGAGGCATCTATCAATGCTGAACACCATAAGAGATAAACTTCTCTGTCTACCCTCTCTGCTAAGGACACTCTTCTGGTCTTGTTCAGTCTTCTCTTCTCTCACTTCCTTTCTGCCCAGGTTTTTACAACTCTTCACATTTCTTCCCAAGAGTGTTCAGCTTAGCTTCACCTTCTCTTTGATCTATTTTGATCCCAATTCCTGAAGCATTTTCCTCTTATCTTCCCTTTCTTTTTGCTGTCTTGGGGTTCAAACCTGAGACTTTTCCTAGGTTGGTCATAAACTATTTTCTGTTTCATTCTGTGTAAATGTGTGTGTTCATATGTAGGAGGCGTGCACTGTGTATGTGCAGGTCTGCATGTGTGTTCGTGATATGGAGGCCAGAAGTCAGCTTCAGGTGGCATTCTTCAGGACAGTATAGCTTTGCATTTTTAAAATCTTTTTGATATTATAATAAAATATATCATTTCTCCCTTCGTTTCCTTCCTCCACATACCACTCCCTATTCTCTTTCAAATTCATGGCCTGTTTTTGTCACTGTTGTTGTTGGTGTTATTGTTGTTGTTGTTGGTGGTGTGTTGTATTCTTAAACCCATAAATACTACCTTCACAATCTATATGATTGTGTGTATATATGTTTCAGGTCTGACCGTTTGGTATTGGAGACTCAATTGCTATTTTCTTCCCTCTCAGCATTCTTTAGTTGCTTCTAGTTCTTTGTCCATGGATGTTGTCCTTGTTCAGGTCTTGTTTAAGCAGACATGATGATGAGACTTTCTGGGCGAGGCTTCTGACATTACTAGGAGACAAAATCTCACAGCAAATATGTGTCAATCTTGTAGCTCCAAAAATCTTTTTGTCCTCACTTCCAAAATAACCTCTGAGCCTTATGTGTAGGAGTTGTGTTGTAGATGGGACTGGACTCCACAATTAAGCATTTTGATTAGTTGTAAAAAGAGGTTTCCTTGACAAGGGGAGAGAACTACACTTACCTGTGGGTACAAGGACAAACACTTGGACTGTACCCAGGAATTAACGCTTGTTAAAAGAGGAGGTTGTAGATTCTCTTCTTAAGATTCCCCACTTCCCTAGTCCTAGGCAGTAGGCTAGGTTTCCAGTACCAGGCATGGTCTCCCTCTTGTTGATTATGGTCTTAAGTCCAACTGGAGAGCTGTTGGTTGCCGCTAAGGTACACCTGCCACTATTGTACCCTTGGGGTTGTCTTGTCATGGTGGTCAGTGTTGTGCTTCACAGCTGTCATAACTGGGGAGCACTGTTGGTTTCTGCCCTCTATTGGAAATTTGCATGGTGCTTTCTGGTAACACAAAGGCTAGGGAGGAGGTTTTCAGGTCACTTCCAGCTCAGGGACTGTTGTGCCCTGTGTCTGAAGTGTATGGTGTCTTCAGTGATAGGGACTTAACCGTCCACCTCTAAGGGGAGACCAAAAGCCGTGACAATAACCTATAATGTTTTGGATAACTCTGACCAACAACTCAGAACAGATCCATAAAAATGGGCCTGGTGTTGGGGCTTTTGTTACATGGTTGTTGGCTCTTAGAGGAAGCATTGTTAGCGCAGATGGGACAATTTCATTTAAGCTATACATGTGTGTTTATATACTAACTTACATACATTAGAGGTGTTTGTGGATAGATAGTTGAGAGTTATCCCTTGTTTTTGAGATAGGGTCTCTCACTTGCCTGAAACTTGCTGACCCATCCTGGCTGACTGACCTAAGAACCTTAAGGATCCTTTTGTCTCTGCCTTCCCAGCATTGGGGTTATAGATGCACACCAGCATACCCAGCTTAAAAACAACAACCCAAGCCTATGCCAATAACAAACATGGCTTTTGGAGATTGACCAGGTACTCAGGTTTACAATGCAAGCGCTTTATTGGCTGAGCCTGCTTCTCAAGTGTTAAACAAATAAATCTTTCCCCTGTAAGATTTCTAGTTTTGTGGTTTGATATGAGAGTTTCAAAGTCTTTATTTTTCTTTTTTGTTTTATCCTTCTTTCATATCATGACAACAGTTTCCCCTCCATCCCCTCCCCCAATTTTTCCTATATCACCTCCCTTCTCCCCTAGATTTACCCTCCCTCTATCTTCCCCCAGGAAAGAGCAGGCCTCTCAGGGACATCAACCAAACATGGCATGATATGCTCCTATAAGATCAGTCACATACCATCACATCTAGGCAGGATGAGGTAACCCAGGAGAGGGAAGGGTCCCAGAAGTAGACAAAAGAGTCAGAGACTGCCCCTGCTCCCATTGTTAGGAATCCCACAAGAACACCAAGCTACTCAGCCATAACATGAATATATGCAGAGGACCTAGGTCAGATCCCTGCAGGTTCCCTGGTTTCTGTGAGCTCCCATGAGTACCAGTCAGTTGATTCTGTGGGCCATGTTTCTGTGGTCCCTGAGCCCTCTGGGTTCGCGGATCCTTCCTCCCTCTTCTCCACAGGACTCCCCCAGCTGTTCCTAGTGTTTGCCTGTGGGACTCTGGGTCTTCCTCCACTGGTTTTGGATGAAGTCTGAGAAGCCACCATATTGGTTCCCAAAGTAGCTGTACAAGTTTGCACTCCTAACAGCCATGGAGGAGTGTTCCCCTTGCTCCACATCCTTGTCAGCATGAGCTGTCACTTGTGTTTTTGATCTTAGCCATTCTGACAGGTATAAGACAGAATCTCAAAGCATTTTGATTTGTATTTCCCTGATGGTTAAGGATGTTGAACATTTCTTGAAGTGTTTCTTGGCCATTTGAGGTTCCTCTGTTGAGTAATTCTCTTTATATTTGTACCCCACTTTTTAAATTGGATTAGTTTGTTGATGCCTAGGTTCTTGAGTTCTTCAGATATGAAGTTGGTGAAACTTCACTGTGTGGGTGCTGTTTTGTCCTATGGATTGTATCCTTTGCCTTACAGAAACTTTTCAATTTATTACTTAATTATCAATTGCTTATTATTTATTTATTGTTTATTAATTTATTGTTATTAATTCAGTAGTTGTTGCTTTTAGTTGCCTGTGCTATTAGTGTCCTGTTCAGGAAGTTGTCTTCTGTGCCAATGTATTCAAGGCTATTTCCCACTTTCTCTTCTATCAGGTTTAGGGTATCTGATTTTATGTTGAGGTCTTTGATCCACTTGGATTTGAGTTTTGTGCAGGGTGATAGATATGGATCTATTTGCAGCTTCTACATACTGGCATCCAGTTAGACTAGAACCATTTGTTGAAAATGCCTTTTCTTCCCATTGTATATTTCTGACTTCTTTATAAAAAATGAAGTGTCTACAGTTGTATGTATTTACATCTGGGTTTTCAATTTGATTCCACTGAACGATGTATATTTTTATGCCACTACCATGTGGTTTTTAATACTATAGGCATGTAATAGAGCTTGAAATCAGTGATGGTGATACCTCTGGGAATTTATTTATTGTTCAGTATTGTTTTAGTTATTTTTTTCTTATATGAGGCTGAGTATTCTTTCAAGGTCTGTAAAGAATTGCATTAGGATTTTGATGGTGATTGTGTTGAATCTGTAGATTGCTTTTGGTAAGATGGACATTTTTACTATGTTAATCCCACTGATCCATAAGAACAGGAGATCTTTCCATCATCTGATATCTACTCCAATTTACTTCTTGAAATATTTGAAATTTTTATCATACAGGTCTTTCACTTTCTTGGTTAGAACTACCTCAAGTTATTTTATATTATTTGTGGCTATTGTGGAGGGTGTTGTTTCCCTGATTTCTTTCTCAGCCCATTTGTCATTTATATATAGAAGGGCTACTGTCAATTTTTTATCCAGCCACTTTGCTGAATGTGTTTATCAGCTGTAGGAGTTCCCTGGTAGAATTTTTGGGGCTACTGATATATACTATCATATAATCTGCAAATAGCGATACTCTGACTTCTTTCTTTCTAATTCATATCCCTTTGATTTCCTTTAGTTATTGCTCTGGCTAGAACTTCAAGGACTAAATTGAGCAGATATGGAGAGAGTGGACAGCCTTGTGGAATTGCTTTGAGTTTCCCTCCATGGCTTACCAAGGGGGAAGATACACCTCCATGATGATGTCACCATTCCCTGTAGAGGAGGGGTGAGAAGGGAGTAACTAGCTCACCTTGGGGGCAAACACATGCTTTGTTGAATGTGAGAATCTGAACTGTTTCACGGGAAACCTCAGTCTCATGCTGGCCAAGTGGGCAGCTCAGGAGTAGGTAAGACTGAACCAAGACAACGAGGAAAATCTGTAAGCATGGACACGAAGAGGCTTCAGTTGCTCATCCGCTATTCTTTCCTACACAGGCAACTCTCACTCCCACCGCCCCGCCCCATCCTGCCCCAGGACCTTCACACCCTGTGGACTCTCCTAGCCTTGGCCACACTGCAGCATCTGATTATTGTCCACTGTCTGTGCTGGATTCTGGGGTCCCTGGAGGCCCAGCGTGTGCCCAGTCCATCTCGTACCAACCCTCTCCCTGTATCTTCCATGCAATGCACACTCGATAAATGTTGAGTGGATGAGCAGATTCACTCGCTCCTAGAGCTAACCCCATCTACATTAGAAGCAGGACACACCAATGCCTATATCCGGGTTTTCTTCCTCACAGAGCCTATTACTAAAGGGCAGCTACTGATTTCTTCAGAGAGAGAGAGAGAGAGAGAGAGAGAGAGAGAGAGAGAGAGAGGACAGAGCAGGCCTCCATGCTATATTTCAAACTTCTGTCAACTTTTTTATTTTTCAAAGAAAGAGACCCTCTGTGCACCAGGCCTTGTATCATTTCTCAGATTTCCTG